ACACAAGCTGTACAGGTGAACACTGTTACATTCACACCATTACATTCAAATTGTACATGTCTGTACATATAGAGGGAATGCACGTGACGTAGTTGTCATCCTGCAGTTCCTCACAGTGAGTGGCAAAAATACTGAGCGGCTGTATTTGTTATCAGCGTGAATGCCGCGAAAAACAAACACAACACATATAAAGTGGGAAAGAGCTTTGAGATTGACTGTACAACTAGATTTGACAAAAAAATCAGAGGTATATTTATAGACTGCTATAGAAAGAGGAGCAAATGGATCGCTGCAGTTCACAGAAACAACTGGACTCCAGTCAGCGAAAGGTGGATTTGCAGTCATCATTTTGTGTCAATATGCTGAATTTAGCTGTAAAACCATATCCATATATTTTGTATTGTTATATATGAAGAGTTCAGATGCAAAAGCCTCTAAATGCCATTTGAAATTTTCTTCTTTAATGATGATTTTTATCAAACTTGTATATTTAAGTTCAGTAATTTCACTTAAATAACAATTAATAGTGAAATTAATGAAATTAAAGTGAAATTACTGAACTTAAATATACAAGCTTGATAAAAATCATCATTAAAGAAGAAAATTTCAAATGGCATTTAGAGGCTTTTGCATCTGAACTCTTCATATATTAACGACTCATCAATTTAATATTTATCATTGCATATTCTGCATTATTGGATGATTTTTAATAAACACTGACCAAAAAAAAAGTTTTAGGGCTTGACGATATGATGATATATATATAGGCTATATACTGTATAACACTGATATAACTCAGATTTAGACCTACCTATATTATATTTATATAAAGCGTTCACAGGCAAATTTGCTTTATGTTTAGGTCTATATTGCTTTTATTACCCTGGTGTCAAAATCAGGCAAACATAAATGTCAGGCAACACGATTCCTGGCTGCATGTCAATATCCATGGATCACTGGATCTTTAGTAAGTTGTAAGGAACACTATATTGAGTCCAACATTCAGTTTAAATTGATAAAATTGTTCGTTTTAGTCGCATTTTTGCAATTTTCCCTATTAAATCCAGTCACGCAGCAGATCTTTTGCCACTCAGGCTGAGGGGGGTTGTTCTGGCGGGAAAAGTGATGTCAATGCATTCCCTCTATATTTTAAATGCAATGCATTTAAGTAAAATATAATATGTTATTATGACCATATTACATTAATAATGTGCCGTGCAAAAAATGGTTCATTTTTGCAAGAGGGAAATGTGACATGAACATGTTTTTATGTGAGATTCACATCACTAAAGTCTTGGGTTTGATTCCCAGGGAACGCATTAACGAATCAAATGTATATTTTGAAGTTATTTTGGATAAATGCATCTGCCAGTGTAAGTCTGTACTGCATGTTTTGTGTCATTCTGACGTGCGTGTGATGTGTTTTTCAGTCTGATTTCCCCAGGCACATCTATAACGTGGACGGAGACCTTCAGTCCCCGCCGGGCCGGCTCTACTAAACTGCTGGCGAGTCTAGACTGCGCTGCGCTCCGACAGGTGTACGGAGAGACTGAGCTCACCGTACAGCCATGAACACACCGAGGATGAAGCGGCGAAACACACATCAGTCTTTGACCAAAGAGAAATACCATATAAACTCCAGCATAGCATGTACTCTACAAACATACTGAAGCATGTGACCAGTGCATTATATTATGTTTACTCAAAAATACAGTTATCACAATTAATATGTTCTTATATCTGAAGATTTAAAATAAAATGATTTAACAAATCAACTAAATGTTTTTTTTTCTTGACCATAAAATGCTTAAGAGGGAAATAAGCACAGAAAACAAAAAGGTGAGAGAAAGTCACTCCACAAAACTTTTTTTATTTAATTGAAATGAATGAATCTCTTTATAGAATTCCCTCATTAGGTATGACTATAAACTGATGTATGAAACAGGAAAGAGCAATCACTCAAATGCAAATGCAGTGCTGATTGTAGCATCATTTTTAGAGAAAAGGCTATATGTGTGTGAATTATTCAATGAACTTTTTTGGAGTGGACTTTTAAAGGAGTTTGTGGCAGTATATAAATGATTCAGTTCTGATTATCATAAGGTCCATTTGCTGAACTCACATTATTAGGCTATACCTGTGAAGACATTCTTGAACAGGGATGTCCAAAGTCAGTCCTTCCCTCGACGCATGCCTGGAAGTATCTAGTATGCCAAGTGAGATCTTGATTAGCTGGTTCAGATGTGTTTAATTTAAGTTAAACACATCCAGGTGGAGGATTGGACACCCGATGATCTAGAGGTACAGGTTCGGACGCATCAGAATAGTTTTGGTTATGGCTTTTTTTTATTTGTCTGTGAGTAGTGATGGGGGTGGTAATGTAACATGGTTATAATTGCTACTGTAAATGTTATGATTGCTGTGTTTGATCAAAATTGCTGTGTTTTTGTTCAGTAAATTGTTATTGTGCGACCTCTGGTGGCGACATTAAGTAATTAGTGGGTTGTTCGAAGCCACACCCCTTCCCTCGGCAGAGAAGTGCAGGGGAAACTGGCTTTCTGAAGCGTTTGAGGCTGTCATCAACTTGTGTCGAAAGACGATTTTAAAGGGATAGTTCACCCCAAAGGATTGACTAGTTGTCGTTGTGTCCAGGCACAGGTCCTTCATCAGCTCCGGAGAATAATAAAAAAAAAAAGAATAAGCAAGGCAGAAAGCACGGATGGCAGGTTAACAGGCTAGCAAGATAATAGTGTGTTGTGCTAGAGATGTCAGATTAATGTGATAGGCAATATGACAATATCTGATGTTGATGAATAAGTTAAATTTAGCAAATAAGAACAGCAGGGAATGAAATAGAGATTCAAAACCGAAAGCTAAATGGAGCAGACACAAGCCAGCAGACAGTAGCAATCGATGAAAAGCAAGAGTCTCTGACGCGCATTCACGAGAGCGCCACTGCTCATATAATTTTTTTTAAATAAATTTAAATTCTTCATTTTTTCATTTTTTTAAATGTATTTTTTATTTTTTTAATAAACAGTTAGAAATGTGTTCTAGTGCGGTCGAACTTGCTCTGATGTCTTTCTGATCGAAAAGCAAATGTGACCAAGGTACAGTGAAATTAAAATACATGTTGGTGTTGATGAGCCGCCAACAAATAATTCATACACAATATTCCATCATTTAAATGTAACCACAAACGCATTCTTTCTACATTTTTTTGCACTCTTCTCTTTAACCTTTGGCAGTCATAGAACTCAAAGGTATTTTCCCGATGCGACCGATTAGTACAGACCAAAACTCGACCATTTCTCAGCAGAATTAAACAGCCAAATTTGCGAGTCCGTCAGTTCATAGGGTTCAGTTCAATGGCATTGTTTATGTTTTGTGCCTCCAAAATGTCCGACTTCCGGGTTGATGACGCGTCGTGAAAACTCTATATTAACACACTTTTAAATAATATTTTGTTAAAAAAAAATCACCAGTTCTAGTTATTAATGTATAATTTAAACATCTAAATATTTTTCTGAAGGCATCAAGGTCAGTTTTCTCCATATTAGGATTTTTCCGCGTTCAGCGCTGTGATTGGTGGTCCAGCGTGGCAACCTGGTGGCAACAAGAGACTAATTTTAGATGACAGGTATCGACCAATCATATCGCTCCTCTATGCGGGTGGGGTAAAATCCGGCGTTCGAAAACGTCAGAGCCATTAATCGCGATGAAAACTCACTGCAGGTAACGCCATTGAGGATGACATCTTTGCTAATTTAATATACACGCAGTTTTCAAGATTCAATTTTAAATACAAGATTAAGTCAATCGGCAAAGGAAGACCTACTCCAGAGCTTAATTGTGTGATGAAAACCAGAGCTTTTTAAAGCATTTCAACCACAGCCGTTACAAGCGACTCCACCGGATCACAGCATCAGCCCTGAAGCTAAACTAGTCTCTGAGCTAAAGCTAACTTACTGCTGGAATTGCACGGTGTTTGGGGTAAGTTATTTTAAATCTAATTATTCTGACTTCAGTACTTGTACTGGTCAGTCTTTTACGAACTTAAGTCCCGTTCTAATGTGTAATTACAGCAACGTTAACTGTTAACGAAAATCATCACGGACAATGTCAGTAAAGATTACGGTAACTTCAGTGAAAGGTCCGGAAAAATTACCCCAGGTAACGTTAATAGTAACGATGTTAATTGAGAATAGACCTGTAGTAACGTTAAATATTTCTTAATTTCCTGTTTAATAAACAAAAGGCATGATCGCACACCTGCGGACGATAGGTCCGGTGTTCTGTCGATTTTTGTTAAACTGAGTCTGCACATGCGCATAACCGGTAAGTAGCAAATCTCGATGGGTAGCATGGATTGTCAGAACTGTTCCACCTGTTTCAAATAAAGGCTGATGTCGTGCCGAAAATTGATGGCCGGTCGGGGGAGCGCGCGCAGGGTGTTAAAGGTGTAACTTATCGCCCTCTCTTTACGAATGCAGTTGCTTTTATGTGGATCAAGCAGACATGATAAGGTACAAATAAACATCACTCACCTACTTTTTACCTATTAAAATACCCGTAAAGGGCCAATACAACAATTCTAATGCAGTATTTCACCTGACAATAAGTGATTGAAGCCTCTACTTATTTATTGAAAGTAGGGGTGGGCGATATGGAAAAAATATCATATCACGATTTTTTCAGGAAAAATCACGATTAACGATTTTATCACGATTCTTTTTCATATTGCTTTTTAAGACTATTTTGCAAATTACAGAGCTGCACTATAAGAAAACCTATATCCCCATTTAAAAAATATAACCATACAAGGTAACAAAACATAAAAGGGGAAAAAAGACAAAGTATCATATCAATCAAGTGTACGTTTAATGGAAGAGAAATTGTGCAAAGTAAAAACAGTCAACAGGACTTGCATTACAATCACACTTCTCATCACAAAATGAACAGTGTTTAAAAAAAAAAAAAAAATCAAACATTGGCAACAGCTGTAAACAGTCAGTATACTGACCCTGAGCAAAACCCATGTCAGCATGTTTTTATCTTTCAATTTTTTGAGGTAGCATCTAGCATGAAAAATATAGATAAACAGATGCATCAAAAACAATTAAGCTTAAAAAGTTAAGTAAAAAATGTTTAAATAAAAAATATTAACTAGTTATAAATTAAGTACAAATAAAGACTATAGGATAAATCCCCAAATAAACATGTTCTTCAAAAGGTAAAAAAAAACCCCACAATAAATAGTGCAATGTGATTCAGGAACCACCAAACAATCAACCGAAGGTGCAAACATATTTCTGAATCATGACTCTTTTAAACTTAGACTTAACTCAGCTTTAGAACAAAACTTTCAAATTCCTAAAAAGTATATATTCTAAGAACGTAAAGTATGACTGATCCCAATCACAAATTTTTAGAGAGGAAAACCAGTTGATTGACTTTATCTGGCTTGAGAGTTGCCCTCTGGCATGTGACGATATTGCCACCAGTGCTAAAAGCTCTTTCTGAGGGAGCACTTGTGGCCGGAATGCACAAGTACTTTTTAGCAAGTTGGCTAACTCTTGGAAAGTTTGCCTCATGGACTTTCCACCATTCCAAGGGATTCATCTCACTTTCTGCATTCGGTATGGACACGTATCCCTTCAGTTCCCCTTCTATTGCCTCTTTTAGAGAAAAGGAAGTTGATCCTGAAACTGCAGCAGATGCACTTGCAACACCTGAGGCTTTCAAAAAGCTGGCAAGTGATTTCTTTACTTTCTTGTGTGGGGTTTGTTCTGCGTCAGGGCTCTCTGATGTGGAGGCAGATGTACACTGTTGAACCGATGCTGCTGGATACTGTACGGTCAGCAAAGACTCCAGCTCAGATACAGCTCTGGCTTGTATTCCCTCTATCTTGTCGCTGGCAATGTATTGGGTTTTGAACCTGGGATCAAGAAGCGAAGCCATATCCAACAGGTCGTCAGTGGTGGGATCCTGATATTTGTCAGTGAGGTAATCGAGAACTGTTTGCTTCATTGTTTTTGTTAGTTCAGTGTCATCATCATTCGGGCTCAAGATGTTGACTTTCAACAGGGAAAGCACTGGCTTTATGTAGGACACACTCACATAGTCTTCACCAGAGAGTGCATCAGTGAAGTCTCTCAGTGGACTCAGTGCTTTTTTCACAGACTCCATCACGTCAATGTCTTGCCATGATGGGACCAAATGCCTCGCCTTCCGGTCTGCCTTCAGGACCTGCGAAATGGCCTTTTCCTGGTCAAGCACTCTCTCAATCATGTTCAGTCTGGAACCCCATCGTGTAGGAGATTCAGTGATGAGTTTATGTTGAGGTAGTTTCAGCTCTGTTTGAGCTTTAATTAATTCCCTCTTTTTCTTCCAACTGAAAGAGAATGTACTGACGACTTTCTTGCAGATAGATGTTATGCGTTCAACACGAGGGTCTTTGGCACTTTTTTCTAAAAAAAAAAAGAAAAAAAAAAGAAAAACATACATTGATTAGATTTATTTACATTTTAATTAACAAAGGTTTTATATTTTTCACTTGTAATATTTTATTGAAACCAAACAAATTGTGCTACAAAACCATGTTTTTCATATACGAAATATTTCAATATAATCATCCAATTTATATAGTAAATTTCATTTTACTGTTCAGTGTTCCTAATCTACCCTTATTAGTAAATATCAAAAAACTTCTAAATGCCAGTGACAATATTTTATTTTTAGTTTAACTCACCAATAGCTAGGTGAAGTCTGTGCCCAAAGCACTGCAGACGTGTCCAACTGTTGAGCTCCAAGGCCCTCACCATGTTAGCCCCACTGTCAGTGGTCATGCAGGTCATGTTCGCTTCTTTCAGTCCCCAACATTCAAGTGCTTCCTTTAGGCCTTGTGCTATGAGCTCTCCTGTGTGGTCTTGTGGGAAGTACGTTGTTTCTAGACACGCACTGCACAACTTCCAATCATCAATGAAATGAATTGTCAGACTTAAGTATGGCTCTGAAGTGCGGCTAGACCATAAATCAGCTGTTGTGGCAAAAAACATGACATTTTTAACTTTTTGTTCCATCTTGTTGCGGCATTCGGAATACAGCCGTGGAATGGCCGTGGCAGAAAAATATTTGCGGCTGGGAATCTCGTAACGCGGATCAACAACTTTCAGCATTCTTTTGAAGCCCTCGTTTTCCACAGTTTTAATGGGGATCATATCCTTGGCCAGGTAAAATGTCACTGCATCAGTTACATCTTTCCAGCGCTTACTTGTCCTGTCATACGGAGTTCCCTTCTCGAATGCCTCCTTCGTAAGAGTTGTTTGTTTAAGCCGTGTAACGTTAGCCTCTGGCTGCTGCGTGGATGTACCTGATGAACTCGCGAGTGGTCCCTTCATGGCTTGACTGTCAGCATATTCTTTATGGTGTTTTCTCTTGAGGTGGTTAAAAAGATTAGTTGTGTTGCCGTCTGACGTGCGAATCTTTTCATTGCAACACTTGCAAATAACGGTCGTTTGCGCCGTGTCTGTCACAGAAAAACCAAACCATTTCCATATTATGGATGTTGAATTTTTTTTAGGGATCAACTCCTCTGTGTTTTCCATCGTCCTTGGCGTTGTTTAATCTCACGACAAGTAGTTTAAGATTCTGTTAACACGGTGACATCTAGCACGCGCGCATCGCATGTTGTGTACGTAGCCGAAAAACGGCCATAGATATGCACCTAATAGAACGCGCACCGGAGCGCGATTCTACGATATTTCCGAAAAGGTGAATCGTGGAGACATTTTAATCGTCCACGATTAAATATCGTCATATCGCACACCCCTAATTGAAAGGTTATTTCATGCATTGACTAGCAGAGTGGGCGCGATCAGCTCCGGTAGCCGTGTCGCAGCCGCAACGCGCGCAGACGCATGCAGTGGGTAAAATAGAGGTAAAAAATGCGTACATTAACCGATACAATTTGTACTATAAGCATTTTCTGATCATGTTTTTGCTAACTAACCAAATACTTGAACAGATCTATCTGTAAAACACAATCCGAAAGAGCTATATTTTAAGTTCACAATACACATACTTAATTTTAAATAAGGCCTAAAAAAAAAAAAAAAGTTTGGTTCCGGTTGGTTGTCAGTTGAGGTCATGGGTCGGTAGGGAATTTTTTTTTTTTTTTTTTTTTTTTTTTTTTTTTCAGTGGCAGCAAGGGATGGGTAGGAAATTATTCAGGGCTCGACATTAAAGGGATAGTCAAACCTAAAAATATCAAAATTGAAACTACTGTGGAAACAAAGACACCTACATCTTGGATGCCCTTGAGGTAAGCTAAAACATATCAAAAATTAATTTCAAAGTGAACTATCCCCTTAAGCCTTTTCACGTGCTTGTCCTCCGGACAAGTAAGTAAATCTGTCAATCACTTGTCCGAGTAAAAAAGTTGCTTGTCCGGATTTTTAAAATTTATTTATTTTTTATTCTGAAGCAATATTCTCATCTGTGTTCAATCAGCTTTGATATTTAAAAAGGCAAATTGTAATATCTGCACCTTTAAGGGCATCCCCTCCACCAATATTATTAAATGCCCTATAGTGTCTTATTCTAAATAATTGAATTTATTGATCAAATTTAGGAATTTAAAATGAAAGATGAAGCATACTGTTACCCTAGGTAGGGCTGATGAAATTAAACCATTTACACTGAAAAATTACAATTTCATAAAATAATGTTATGAAATTGATTTAAATGTGCAAATAAGAAATATTGGAAAGAATTATACTAGGCTACTTATAAACATAACACTAAACTCCCAATAGGTGGCGGCAGGCGGCCGTATAAATGAGTGAGTTATTGATTCATTAATTCAAACGATTCGTTCAAACGGTTCATCATTTAAGAATGAGACAGATGTTGATGTTTATGAATGGGTCATTGAATCCTTGACTCAACCGATTCGTTCAAAATGCTGAATCATTCAGTAATGAAAACAGGATGAGTTCCTGTGAGATGCGTCGTGGTTCTGCTGTGACTTTTCTTTGGAACTATTTTCGCTGCTGAAATGCAACAAAAACACCCAATATTGCTTATAAACAGTAAGTGACTTAATCTTAACTGTTTATTGAACTGTTGTAGAAAATCAATGTCACTTTTTCAATCGTGATGGTATTCAGGAAAAATAATTGAGGCTGCTTAGTGCTTAACATATGTTAAAATATAAAAACTCCACATTTAGATTTTTTATAGGCAGAGTATGTTGTTAGCTGTGTGTGTGTGCTCCGCTCATGTGTGTAGATTTCTCTGCGCGAGCGTCAACAGCGCAACCTTACCATCAGTAATACAGTAGGCCTGCTACATTTATTATCCACAATCGATCGCAACTTGCAATAAATGTAATAAAATCAGAATCATTCTCTCGGTTTCGTGATTCCCTAGTTATTTTTTTGTTTGTTATTGATGTTCTAATCAGGCTACTTGTCCGTTGGGGCGAGTAAAATTCTCTTTTACTTGTCCTTCAAAAATCCATTTGTCCCGGAAAAGCGGACAAGTTAGACGGGCTCTAGAGATACGAACCGCGGCAGGTTAGAGTGTTTTGGATTGCATAAAATAATGAAAGAAACGAACAAATACATGGCGAAAGAAGTGCTAGACAGCAGAAGATGGGATTGGGATCATGATTGGATCATGATAGGATGATTTTTTAATAAAACTAGGCGGATGGAGGTATTAGTAGGCTAACGTTCTGTGGTGTGTGCATGCCTATGAATGCATGTATTTGTATGTGTGCGAATATGAATAAAAATATCATAAATTACAAAAAAAAGACTTGTATAATATGTATTATAGTTCAGTTTGACGAACGATATCTGCCTCGTTTGTTAATAGATTGCTGGAGGACAAGATGCATCTTACATCGCGTGCTATAAAAAGACGGAGCTGTACAAAAACGTAAATTATTAGTTCGCCTCAGAGTTTTTTATTTGTGTATTTATTTAATTTTTATTATTTCTTCCCCAAGCTCATAAAATAATTTTGGGTCGCACATAAATTGACAGGGTCGGTCGGAAACCGGAAACAAACAATTTTTTTTTTTACGCCTAAGCAGGAATAATTTTCGACTGTAAACAAATACATTTAAATGTTTAGGATGTTTGCGTTGTAAGACTGTTCAGGGAGACTTTAGATTTAAAAACGGTGTCCAGTTGTGCATTGTTTCTCAATCAAATCATACAATTTCCTATTGATTCAACAGAACGCGTGAGCTAATTAGGGAATCACAATATGGCGGCGCGGTGGCTTCACTGTTTATGATGTCATGAGCTATCCAGTCATTCTATAGATCAGTGGTGTGGACGCATATATAGTTATCTTTATCGTTATCTTTTAAATTGACAAACATCACATGTGTAATTCAGGGCACATTTCAAACAAGATTATTTGATGTATATTTGTAACAAAATATTTGTTGACTACCATACAATATTTTTCTGAAATAGGGTCCCATGATGGTCGACTGGAAAGGGAGGGACTTTCTATTTCTGAAGGAGGGACTTCATAGAACAAGGAAGTCATCGGCCTGTTTTTTGGACAGTGAAGAAATCGGCATACAGATAAGTAAATTGTGTGAAAAATACTGTTTCTTTTTTGCACAATCTTTTCTTTTTCACTTTTTTTTTACACGCAAAACATGAACGCATGTTATATTGCACACTGTAAACACAATCAAAGCTTCAAGAAAACATGAATAACGGGGCCTTTAAATGAAACCACGCGTCTGCGCCATTCATTCAAATAGAGACAAGCAGAACATGCAGGGTTCATATTTAAATAGTCGTTTTGCAGTTTAATATACACATACACCACATCAGCAGCGCCGCCAGTCGCCATGTCTCAGCGCTTTAATGAAGAGGACGCAACTTCACGGCCTTCATGCATGCATGCGCATCCAGAACTGGGTTTGACCGGGTACTAGGGCTGCACGATTCTTGTTAAAATCTGAATCACAATTTTTCAAAATCGGAATTGAGATCACGATTTTTTTACGTGATTGTCATTTTTTTAAACCAAAAATTATTGCACTCAAGTACGTAAAAACAAACAAACAGGACATTCAGTATAATAAAGTGCAGGAGTAACTAGAGCTGCATGATTCTGGCTAAAATGAGAATCATGATTATTTTGCTTGGAATAAAGATCATGATTCTCTCACAATTCTGAAAAGCTTTATTATTTTAAATATCTACAAACCCTGAAAATTATGTTACCAAACAAGATAGAAACAAAGTAAGACATAGGCCCATTACTTTTTTTTTCTTCAGTAAAATTTAAACAAATGCAGAAAACAAAAAGAATGTAATATTTAAATAAATAAAATATGACAATTAAACATTGACAACATTCGAAGGTATTATGCCAGGCTAGACATATTAAAGATTCTTAGCAAGAAACACTGTCAACATTTTTGGATATGGTGTTGCGTTGAATAGCGTTGCTTTTATAGATGCTTTTTTTAATTTGGCAGCTGGTACTTGTGATTTAGCAGTTTTTATCTATCCCTTATTCTATAGTTTAAGATACATTTTTAATTGAAGTTTTATTATAACTTTGCTTTCATTTATTACTTAAAGCTCACTTGATGTTTTTCGATAGCTATTACATTATAATCTTTTTTTGTAGCTACTAGGGATGCACCGATCCACATTTTTTCACTTCCGATACCGATACTATTCCGATACCAGAGCTGTGTTTGCTTTAATGTTATTATTATTATCATTGTTGATTTTAAATGATGCTGAAATAAACTCCTCAACAGGCAAGTATGATATGTGTATATGTATGCATGTATGTCCCAAAAGGCAACTTGAGGTAAGTGTAATATCAGAAAAACAGGAAATCCCGTTAACAGGAAAAATCCCATTCTTAAAATGAATATGTAAGGGTTTCAAATTGATTGTCATGTCAATATTTATTATAGTGTTGTCAAAAAACTCGGTACTTCGGTACCAAGTCGGTACTAAAAAAAAAAAAATGTTACGGTACCAGCTTTTCTAGGTACCGAGTACCAGGTTAATCCAGTTCTGTTCTAGACGCGATGTCTGAAACGTGCACAGTTGCGTCCTCTTCATAACGCTGATATGGCTCTCTCTCTCTGAATCCACTTGTTGACACAAAAGGAGGGAAAGAGCCACATATGGAAATATTTTGGATTAGGCTAATGTCACGTTGCCATAAGAGGCCGATTACATGCAAATTCGCAATTTCAAATATAGGCGTGATTCAAGCGCGCTCCTAATAAAAACTCGTTGGCGTTGCATAGCAACGACAGACGCCGCATGAGAGCAAGCGCTTTGGAAAGAATAAGCACGCGCAAAAATATAATTAAAAACACGCGCGACATGTGAACGGCCTCTAAAGTGCTTTCGGGGTAGTTTTACGAGTACATGAGTACAGTAGTATCTACCCGACACCAGAGTACTATGGTATTAGTATTGTCATTTAATGTCAGTGCCAGTTCTAGGCGTATTCTTGCCTTTATAACTCAGCAGGTTTAAAAAGCCTTTTTAAAATTAAATATGAATGCAGTTTTAGATTAATAAAAGGACAGTCAAATCAAATAAAACATGTTTTATGGTAATGCTACAAAGATACCATTCATAAACATTACTTAGTTATCAACACATTGAGTGAACAATATATTTTTACAACATTAATTAATGTTAAAATGTTATTTATTACAAACACCTGATTGTTCATGTTTGTTCACTTAATTCATTGTGCATTAAATAAATAATGGATTAAAACTTTACAAACAACTTTAAAAATGTGTTAGTGTACACTATTGTTTATTTTAGGTCATTTTATCTAATCTTTTTCTAAAGTGTTTATAATACAAATGTACAGTTTCCATACTTGTAACCGTGATAAACACTTAAATATATGTAAATTTAAACTAAGCTTTGGTACCGAAATTGGTACCGAGAACCGTGAATTTTAACTGGTATCGGTACCGAATACTGAAATTTTGGTACCGTGACAACACTAATTTATTATATAAGAAAAGTGCAAGTGTAAACATCTTACACGCATACTATCAATAAAACAGTGTGCACAAATCAAATACACTGGCTCTTGTAGTTTTAAAAATCAAGTTAAGTCAAACCAAGTCTCAAATCATAAGAAAAGTGCAATAACTGTAAACATCTTACACACACACACACACACGCACACACACACACACACACTCACACTCTCTAACAGTGTGCATCTGAACAGCACTAATCAAGTACACTGGCTCTAGTAGCATCAAAATATCAAGGTTTTAAAATGTAAAATATTTGAAATATAAGAAAAGTGTAATAATATCTAGGGCTGCAACTAACGACTATTTTAATAGTCGACTAGTCACCGACTATTGAAACGATTAGTCGACTAATCGGATAATTAATACATTTTTCTAAAATTTAGCATGAATTGCTTTAATTCTGTGGAAAATGATAGTAAACACAAGAAAGAAGGGGCTACTTCAATGAAAAATGCATATTTTATTGAACTTTGCTGCTGATAGGCCGATTCATACTAAAAGTAAATAAATGCCCTGTCTAAAACCAATTAGGCAGAGTGCTTGGTCAGTATAGACATAAATATATAAATAGAGAAACTCTATCATTTTTATGAAGGCCAGGCACATTTGTTTTACAAGAAAAAATAAATTAATATCAAGTAAACATTTTCTTCCTGTAGCTAAACCAGGGGCAGGCACATTAGCAGCAATAAAACAGTAAACAAAAATATTAAGTGCATTTTGTGAGATACATTCAGTGGTCAATCTGTTGCAAAATAACTTTACTACTCGTGATCCAAAACAAAACGTATTGACTTTCATGTTATTTGCCCTATTTTCCGCACTTTAAGGCGCACCTTCAATGAATGACCTATTTTAGAACATTTTTCATATATAGGGCGCACCGGATTATGAGGCGCATAAGATTCTGCAGTCACACGTTTGACTGGGTTTGCGACTTTGCATTATGCATCAACTAGATGTGCTAAAGGGAATGTAGTGCGCGGCGCCGTAACTTTCGCAGCCTGGACTCATATATTGCGGCGGCTCGTCAGCAACAGCTGGCTGTTATGAATGAGAGTGTGAAACGACCCGGTTACTATGAACATGGAGCGCTTTATGAACGTTCTGTGACGTGCGAGTAGCGCCGGGGACAGTGTGTCTGTTAAGAGTGAGCGCTCGTGAGCGGGAAGATATATATATATATATATAAGAAGATCCGGATTATAAGGCACACTGTCGTTTTTTGAGGAGATTGAAGGCTTTTAAATTCGCCTTATATTGCGGAAAATACAGTAAATCTTACCGAGGCGAGTCAAACTCCGTTTTATTCAACTGTCCGACGTGCTTTCTCTTTAAATGTCGTGCATCACCGAGGTGCTGCCGTGATAGCAAGGACTGCTTTTCATGATACAGGCAACCTTTTTATTCACCGTATCCAGGCTAAAATGCTCTCAAACTTTAGATGTTTTGGTATGTTCATTGTCGACTATTTCTATTATCGATTTTTGTCAACAACGTCGACGAATCGTTGCAGCCCTAATAATAACTGTAAACATCTCTCTCTCTCACACACACACACACACACACACACACACACACACACACACACACACACTCTCCATCAATAAAAGTGCATCTGAACAGCACTAATCAAGTACACAGGCTCTAGTAGCATCAACACATCAAGGTTTTTTTTAAATGTAAAATATTTATAATATAAGAAAAGTGTAATAATAAATGTAAACATCTCTCTCACACACACACACACACACACTCTCTATCAATAAAACAGTGTGCATCTGAACAGCACTAATGAAGTACACTAGCTCTAGTAGCATCAACACATCAAAGTTTTAAAATGTAAAATATTTTAAATATAAGATATTAGAAAAGTGCAATTAATAACTGTAAACATCTCTCTCACGCACACACACACACACACACACACACACACACTTTATCAATAAATAGTGTGCATCTGAACAGCAGGAGCAAGTACAGCTGGAGGTTTGGCACTGAAGATGACCTGTATTAAGCTTAATGCTAAAGTCTTAACTATTCTTAAAAAGAAAACAATAATAAGTAAACGACTCCTCAAAAAGTTAACACTAAGGAAGTGATGTAGTGTTCAACAAATCTCACTTAAACATTGGCAGGTTCTTTTTGAGGAATATGAGGATTTCTGCTCTCTCTGCTGTCAGACGATTCCTCTTTTCATCCACAATATTGGATGCCGTGCTAAACAGTCTTTCGCTTTCCACACTGGTTGAAGGGGCACTCAGGAACTTTTCCGCAACAGCAGCAAGGAGAGGAAAGCGAGCATGGTTGTTTGCCCAGTACTGGAAAGGGCTGTCTTTCTCGCCCATCGTTGGTTCTTTCAAATACATTTGCATTTGGATAACCGCTGCCTGGCTACCTCCTGCAGGTTCATCATGCTCCTCCAGAATTCTGTCGTACAGACTGCTTAACATGCTCTTACTTGTGCTTGGAGGAGAATCAGAACTTGTACCAGCTTCCATGCGAGCAACCTTTTCTACTGGCTCTGCCTCTGTTGCCCCTGCTTCATCAGCTGATGCCCTGAGCAGTGCTTGCTCCATCTGCTCAAGCTCTTGTGTCAGGAGAGCCTTCGCACTCCTGGCAGTTTCTTCACCCACAAAGAATCTTGACACAAAAACTAAATGGGTTGAGTTCAACTTATTTGTTGCTGCTGCAAGAACCCAGCCTGCATGCATGTACACAACCACCTCCCCACTTATCTAATTAATTGTAGGCCACATTAACAATCAACATGTAGTTTTGGTTTTGTAGTCAGAATTTAACTTTCAGTTTTAAAAATGGTCCCACTTTATATTCAGTGGCTTTAAGTACTATGTACTTACATTGAAATGAAAAAATTTGAAATTATATTTTAAAAATAACAGCATGTAATTACAGCTATAATTAATTTATGTAATTACATTTGTAATTACACAGTTGACCCTTCCCTCACACCTTAACCTACCCTTAAACCGACCCATACCACCACACCTGTCCCTAACCTTACCCGTACCTCAATAGCAGCAAAAGTGTTTTACAATACAACAGGAAGACAATAATACGTTGTACTTATTTTTCGATGTATGTACATAGTACTTAAAGCCACTTAATATAAAGTGGGACCTTAAAAATTAGCCAACATTAATAAATAGGGCATTAATAAAAAGATGACTGACTCGCCTATCTTTGTATCGAGCGTCCACTAAAGTGGCAACTGCATAGAGGGGTTCACTTTCAATGCTGCTGAATCGCCTGCTGACAGCTTGGAGGAGCGTGCTTTTCATTGTTTTGATGCCGCTGTCAGTACTGTTCTCCTCGGCGAGCAGGCGTGTTAAAACGGTGACGGCTGGGATTACGTCGGCTCCAGTGGAGGTCGCTGAGCTGATTTTCCTAGTTAACTCCTCGAAGGGCTCCAGCACCGTTACTATTTTTTTCAAGCAAACCCCATTGGCTGATAGTGTTGCTGGCAAGTTGTGATCAGCAGCACATGCACAGAGAGGTCGCTTAAACTCTTGATCATATAGGAGGAGCTGTTCCATCTTGTTTGAACATCTTGAACAAGACGAGTTGGGGTGGTCGTGGTTCCCGCACCTTGCATTTCATGCTGCAGGTCTTCCAAGCGAGACTGTGCAAGTTGTGAATGCTTGAAATGTCCTACGATCTCTGTCTATTATTGGTCCAAACTAATAAATGGTACATGAAGCATAAATAAGTAGTGTATTTTCGTTCCACTTTCATTTTGTTCGCATTTGCTGCTCGGTAACGGGTCGATGGATCGCTTATTGCTCTGATGCACATAGCAGGTTGTGATATTTGTCTCTTGTCTCCTTCCCACAGACGTTTATGCGCACTGTTCTTGTCGCACTCATTCCGGATTCATTGATGTGCTCCTTCCACGCTTAATCATGCGTTTAACGTGTGGCAAATTTACTGGTCGCACGTGTGACTGGATGTAAAATTCGTTGTTTTGAATTTCTACCAAATTTGTGTTGTTGAACCCAGAAGTACCGCAGTTTACTCTACGGCCAACAGCATAGAATGTTCTGTAGTGAGTGTGATGCAGGTCTATTGAGTTGTTTTTGTCTTAACCCCTCCCCCCTCATACCTCCCCTCACCCTCTCACCACAGCTTTCTACACAACTTTCTTCAGTCTTTTTCAAATCTGAGGTGTGAACGAAGGGGAGTTTATGACCCTTTAAGCCTTTTCTGAGTAATGTTAAAAAGTACATGCTATACAAGAACTCGGAGTAAAAATAATATAATAAAAGCTTTCCACGATCAGATTTGCTGTTTCAAAGAGTGTAGTTGCTACTTGTGGCCATTTGTGGGTATCGCTTCTCGGCCTTTTGGCTAAGATCAAGTGTAGTATCTGTTCTTATCAGTTTAATATCTGATACGTGCCCTACCCGGGCACCATATATTAAATTGATTTTTGGATCAGGGAGATGGAATAGGGGCTTGCTCCGTCCACTCCACGCATCGACCCGGTATTGCAGTACTTCCGGGAACGGTGCACCCCCCTAAAATGGTTAATAAAAGAAATAATTCTTGCTTTGCATGATAGTGGCGGGTAGTGGAAGAAGTCAGTTTAGTCTTGTGTGACAGTAGAGGTTAATAACAGCAATATATGTTGTTGTGTATGGGTGTTTTAAAATTGTTGAGAGTGGTCTTAGTATTATGTAAATATTAAGTAAGCATTCCATACCAAGCATAATCATCATTCTACATTTATTAGTGTATATATTGTATGTATTGTGTAGTGATCTACTTTTTCGTGTGAAACTGTAGGTTTTATTCAATGAGTAACTTTTGTTTGCAAAAGCAGTGGTTCACAATTAGATTAGTCCCATTTGCCCCTGCCGGCAGATGCTGTAACTGCACCATTTCACATGCAAAACACGTGTCTCTTGTCTGATTGGTGGAGTCGAGTCAAATCTTCTCTATGATTGGTAGAGAGATCTACAGTGTTCAGGCAAGTCCAGTTCAGAGACAGTACAACTGGTAAAACATGAATGATGATTTAACAAGATCCAGAATTTAGATCATAGATTGTAAGGGTTTCTAATTAATGTTTAATTAGAAGTGGCGCCTCACCATGGATGATGATGATGTTGCCTTCAGTAACTCCTCGAGAGGGAACGTGTACAACTCATACTTACCTGGCAGGGGAGACACCATGATCATGAAGGTGGTTCACCCAGGGCGAGGCTCAGCCATTGCACTCCGGTTGTGCTGACCCCTGCGAATTCCCCAAATGTGGGAATCTCGACTGCATAATTTCTGGTAGTGGGGGACTGCGTTCGCGCTCTCCCCTGATTTAATGGTACAATAATAGAATTGAAATTCATCTGTTTAAATCAATAATTGGTACAGGAGTATCTCTTAGAAGTATGTGATAACATAGTGGATTATTCAGCTAAAGTCCCGCTGTAGTCAATAGTTTTATCCCAAAAACTCAGTCTGATCATCAAATGAAATTTAAAAGTTTTCTCCTTGAAGAAAAATTTCTTCATGTCTTTAAATAGCTTGAATGTAACTCTGCACCATTGCCAAAGTGAAAAAAAGCCTGCTCACTACTCCTTTACGTGTCCCTGTCATCATCGACGCACCATCAGTTGCACATGCCACCAACTTGGCCTGCCACTCTTCTCCACAGACCTCCCTCATGTTATCTATTACCTGAGCGATGTTCTTACCATCTGCTTTCTCCACATCCTGTATCGTTACAAAGTGGACCTCCACCTTGCCTCGGTTGCACAAGCGTGTATACAGAATTTCCTGTTTCATCACGGCAGTGTCAGTAGACCCGTCAGACATAATGGACAGGAATTTCGCTGTCGCTATCTTTGACCTGAAGGGTCTTCCTCTCAGCTGCAGCTATGTGCTTAATAAACACCCTGGCTTGCTTCCGATTCACGTATGTGCTACCTGTGCTAATTCCCCTTTTCTCATCTAATCTATAAAATGAAAATGGAAAAATAATCAATGAAAAGTACAGATATAAGTAAATATCGTACCATATCAATAACGTTATAGGCTACTTTATTCATATAAACTAGCCTAGAAACTGACATTAATTACTTAAGCACTATATTCTTCTGACCTTATTCAGCATTTAATCTAAAATCAAGTATTTAGCATTTCATAAACGACAAAAAAAGATTTGCTTGCATTGCCATTCGTAATCTTGAAATGGCCTTCCTTTTTTCGCAATTGCGTGGGCATTCCTAAACAGTATTATCATCTTATCCAACTGGGCCGTCTTCAGGCTGGTAAGTGCCTTCATGGCAGCTGTATTCTCCGGGCCTGCTTTTCCATGTGCTCTCTTTTTCACCTGGATGTGGCATTTTTATGATTCGTGGTCTTTTATGGCTTCCAGTTTTAGGCTTTTAGTCCCAACAATTGAACTATTAATTTTGGCATCTTAGGAAGCGTGTTGATGACATACAGAGAAGAACATTGTGAGACTTGTCTCGTCATAAACTAGCCAATCGCGGGACTCCCCATTGTCTGCTTTTCTCCAGGGTAATTACCGGACAACGGAAACCCTGGATGAAACATAAAATTTAAACATCAGAGGAAATCAAAAATATTACTTTAAGTAAGAATTAAGTAAACAAACCTAAAATTGTAAACAAAACTAAATATTGACTTTGTTTACATGACACCTTATTTGACAGATTATAAAACTATAAAAAAAACAAAAATATACACAATATTCAGTATAAACTAAGCAAAAGGAAGCTGGAGCGCTGCTGGTGTCCCTTGTATCCTCTGGTGCTCTTGGAAGGGCTGAAAGTTCATAAAAAATGGAAAAAAAATCCAAGTCCAGGCACTCAGGGTTACAAAAGTGAAAAAGGCCTTTATTTAACAATCGAGGGCTAAACCATTAAAAAACACCAACGTATTCAGTATAAACTGTTGTACACTATTTTCACTGGAGTGCATCAACGAGTGTGGTGAAATGTTCCTAACTACTGCACACTACTGTGTTCAATCCTGCGGACATAGTAGACATAATTTTCACGTGACAAAGTAATCTTTTTGTATTTTGCCCTAGGGCTGGGCGATATGGCCAAAAAAAATTATCACGATAATTTTTTTTATATCAGTCGATATCGATAATTATCACGATATATGTCAAATCTTTATTTCTTTCAAGTTTAAAGGCAGATTTTTGCTCCTAAGTGAAAGTTGTATTAACCAGAGTGTAAATTGTGGTTTTAAACTACTCTTTATTGTCAGAACATATCATGACAAACACTTGCCAAACAGTTGAACATTTCACAAATATGAGGTAGAACATTCAAACATTTTTCCTTAAAATAAATATCTCAATAGAAAAATATTTATTCAGCACAGTTTGCAGTGCAGGCTGCAATATTAAAATTACATGTTTTATCTCAAAATGCATATTTGACAGTGAGTCGACAGTAAATCTGCATCCTAACTCAAGCTAATACTAAGCTAATGTTACATTTATGTTCATTAACAAAAACAGTAACATCTGGGTTTTTTTTAATGTAACGACCACATTTTTTTTTGGTAAAATGTAATATTCTGACTGAGTTGTATTAAAATTAACCATTGGTCATCCAGTCTCATGCATTTAGATGATGATAACCACAGATAAAACCAGGCATAGCCTATAACTTAGCACCTCACTATCATGGAAAAATGTAACTTTATGGTTTTTGTGGTATTTGTATGAAAACAGTGGCCTAATAGTTAAATACATTATTAAATGCTGTACTTATATTCCATAAGACATTTAATGAATTGTCTACATTAATAATATTATACAATTAAATATGTCTAACATTTCATGGTGCAGTTAATATTACTTGGCTAACCTTACAGTAAATCCATGGTAGGCTAAATGGATTCAGTATCAATTCAGATTCTGACTGGATCGTTGCACGCAGTGTTTCTCCTTTTTGTCAGCGGTGTTTTATCTGCCCTAAACTGGTTTAAACTTGACATCTGTGTTCTTCGCTGAACTCAAGCGCTTCTCGCTGGATGTCTTGAGCGAGACGATCAAAGCAATCGCGTCTGCTCTAGCGAGCTCGCGCTGCGCTCACTGCCGTTTGGACTTTGAGCCGAGCGGATAAATGCTCCGTGTGGCGCGCGTGGTTCAAATGAGTTTCGTTCCGCTTTTGGCGAATAAACATTATCGAACATTTATCGACCTCTTGATATCGTTTTATCGAGAAAAATTATATCGCGATAATTATCGTTATTGTTTTATCGCCCAGCCCTATTTTGCCCCTGAGTTGGTTGCGTGCACAGTCTACAGGTTGGCAAGTTGTGTACACGCGATACCTTGGCTCCGACTGGAGTAAAAAATTTTTTTAGTTTTTTCCTTTGTATATCGTAGCTCGGGACCAAGCTGGATTGTTAGCTTGGGACCAGAATGGGGTGTTATGTGTCGCCAAGCTGCTTCCGCAGGTGTTGCGCTGGCAAATGTGTCCAGAATCTTAGTAGTAGTGGTGATGGCGGCGGTAAAGAGTGGTGGTGGAAATGATTGTGTAGTAGTGGT